TTTAAATAAAACTTAGGTATTTTTTTATTAATTTTTTTAATATTTAAATGCAATAAATAAAATAAAATTATTTTACAAATATTAATATTTATTCAAGCCGGCTCTCGAGCTCACGAGCCGAGCCAGCTCAAGCTAGAACTCGAGCTCGTTTACTCGAACTCGAGCTCAAGCTTGACTCGTGAACTCGATAAGCTCGGCTCACGAGCCCATAAACAAGTCAAGCTCGAGCCGGCTAGACTCACTTACACCCCTACGCACCGCTGTGGATATGTGCTCTGGAATATTTCCATTTAGTTTAGTGCTTTGGTGCTATGACTTCAAGTACCCCAATGTTACTAGAGCCCCATTGCTAGGAATTAGGCACAGCAACAACTATGAGCTCAAGAATTCTAATACTCCATCACAATATTCATGATGGTTGTAACTCCAGGAAGCCCATGATTTAATTCAATGTTTTTTTAGCCAAATCCACATAACATAACATATATTGCCTTGAAAGATAAATTGATGCTCAACTATCAATTAAAAAAAATAAATAATTTACTTTCATATTCAAACTCAACATAAGAAATGTTTAACTCATCCTTAAAAATAAAAGGAACATTCAACTATCATTTTGAATATGAATGTATGAATCAATATATAAAGCTAGTTTGTATTCATAAGATTCTTCCTGTTTCTTAGAAAGAAAATAAGAAAGGTCTTTTTTTTACTAGGTACAAGACTTTCTATGGAGGCAAGCTTCTACACTTAATTATATCCCAATGTAAGTCTTTACAATACTCTTGATTAAAGTGGGGACTATATTTTTTTTATATATTTAGGTAAGATGAAAGATTTGAGTTCAAAAAAAGAATTTAAGGATTGATTTAGAATTGAGATTTATAATTTATTTAAGATCTGGATAAGCCTCCCGATGAGGAAATTTAGAGAGATGTGTGTACAATATGGATTTCATAGATTTGACTACCGACTAACATCTTAAAAGCAATATGTTGCCTTATGAATGAAAGATAGGATAGATCTATATCTAAAGAATCAAGAATTTTTAGTTTAGAAAACTTTAATCATGACACTTTAATATAAAAATGCTCATATATAGTTCAAATTGACTCAAGGACATCCTAAACTCTAAAATTTTACTTTTAGTTAATTCTAGATTCTAAAAAATATTTATGGCACTACAAGAAAACATAATTAATTAATTAATTCCTTAATCAAGCATTAAAATTTTCCAAAAATTCTAATAAATCAAAATTAAATTCAAAAATTATATATAATACCTCAAACTGACCATAATTAAATTTCCAACACAAAAAAATTAAAATTCCTTTGATTTGACTTAAAATTTATGTTTAATTAAAATTTAATATTTAATAAATTTAATAAATTAAAAATAATTAAAATATCAAAAGTTTCCTAAACACTTGGAAATATTTCCTTAGGTTATTCCTGACCTCTAGAGTTAATTTTAATGAGTTGGAATTCATTTGAATTCAAATAATTAAAACACCCTTAATTAAATAATTTTAAAAATTCAATAAATGCCCAAACTTTCAAAAAATCATAACTAATTCCAGAAAAATTTAAATTGAATAAACTCAAAATCATCGGACTCCATTTGGGGTCTAATATTTATTAAAAAATATTAAACCACCAAAAATTATCTAAAATAAAAAGGTGGTTTGATTTTTTAGAGAAATATGGTAACATAACAGCCCTGATCCATGGGAGAACTACGACAACCCCGACTCTTAGGTTCCTCATTTCTGATTGTTTACTTTTGTGTTTGGCTAGTGTATGCTAAAGGAATTTAGAATACATATAGTTATGCATGTCAGAATAAAGGTATTTGTGTGTATGGTACACTATCATAACATCCTAAAATTATCATATATATTCCTACGAAGTCCATAATATGCCCATCGAAAAAAACCTATGAAAAGGCTACCCTCTAATTCAAATCTACCACTCATATAAATACATTGTATGTAACATGAAATAGTATATGAAAGAGCAGTGTATAAATAAAACTTTTATTTTATTTTTTTTAATGTAAAGTATAAATCATGATCTACTAAAAAGTAAAAATGGCTAGAATCTACCACAACAAGCTTGGATTTATACATGCTATATAATGTAGATCAAAATATGACTGCTTATTTTAGTCTTTATTATTAGGCTCCATGATCATCTTGAAGATCCCAAAAGATAATGATTTTCAAAGGAAGAAGAATCATTTCCTTTTGGAACTCTATAAGTATAAGCAATCATCTTTAATCTTAACTACTCTTGGCACTATATAACTCAATCTAGCTATATAATAATATAAAACTTTAAATTTATATTCACTCATTTACATTTACATCAGGTCCTAGGTACATTCTACTTTATGTAGGGAAGTAAAAGAATAATGCATATACAAAATGTAGAAGTGCAATTTATGTTTTAGAAGATAATGCATCTAAAACATCTAATGTAACCTAGAAGAATTCATCGTGCACCAATAAGAATATAAGTATGATATCTAGAGTGTAGGAGTAGGCAAACAAACATAAGACACCATCCAAGTAACGTATCTCCAACACAACAATCTATAGAACATGTAAAATCTATGCTAGTGTCATTAGCTGTAATATCAAAATCTGCTCCAGGATCGTCCAGGACGATCTGGATCGTCCTGGGACGATCAGTGGAAAGTTTCATTAGCTCTATCAAACCATCTATAATGTGTGTAATAAGAGTGGCTTTACTCGTAGAGACGGGATATGAAATGAGCATATATATGAAAAGGTTGGAGTAGCTCTAGTGGAAGATAAGATTAGAGAGAGTCGCTTTAGATGGTTTGGTCACATAAAACGGTGGACTACCAATGATCTGATCAGAAAAGCAGATGTATTAGATTTGGCTTATGTTAAGAAAGGTGGAGGTATACCTAAAAAGATTTGGTTATAAAATATTAGAAATAACATTTCTTTATTAGATTTAAATTTGAATTTGACTCTTAACAAGACACAATTGAGACAAAAGATTATGTAGTTGAACCAACGTAGTGGGATAAAGGCTTGATCATGTTGTATAGAAAAGTGAATAAATCCTCATAATGAGTTGATGATAATTTTATTAGAAATATTATACTATGATATTAATATCATCACATTTGATTAATATTTATTAAAAATATATGGTATTTATTATTGTATTATAAGATAATTATAGTGGATATTCTTATTTATTACACTTTCCTTATTGCTCTTTCCTCTTTTCTTTATATAGGGATGCTTGTTTTTGCACCAAGATGAATCTAATTGTTGCGTCCTGGAAAATTCGCAGCGGTAGAGAAATATAAAAATTAATGCCTTAGCTTTGTACGAAGATCCAGAGCACAAGTAGATCAAAGAGATGAGGGTGTAGCGTTCATAAGAGACACCAGAGTTTTTACGTGGAAACCCCTATTACGTGGAAACCCCTGAAAAGGGGGAAAAACCACGGGGCTTGGCCCAGTTTGAATGAATCCACTAATGCTTGCAATTGATTACAAATGAGGCCCATCCTTAGGAAGAAGGCCTTGGCTCGAAGTAACAAATATACATCATATAAAATGCATTGCGTGGTAGAAGTTGGAAGAATCAATATTGATATGTTTGTTTGGGATGGCAAAACCATAGTCGACAAGCGATGTAGATCGGAAGAACCATATTCGGCGGGTGACGGAGGTCGGAAGAATCGTAGTCTGTGAGCAACATAGGTCACAAGGACCGTTGTATTGCGACGGCGGTCGGGAGGATCGTAGTCATCGGGTGACGGAGGTCGGAAGGACCGTTGTCGGCAGACAATGGAGGTCAAAAGGATCGTAGTTGGGGGGCGACAAAGGTCAGGAGGACCGTAGTCGGCGAGCGACGAAGGTCGAGGGGACCATAGTTAGAAGGCGACGAAGGTCGGGAGGACCATAGTCGGCGAGGAACGTAGTCGGCAGACGACGGAGGTCCGAAGGACCATAGTCTGCAAATGATGGAGATCGGAAGGAACGTAGTTGGATGACAGTGGTTTGGAGGACTATAGGTGACGGACTAGAGGAAGTCC